ACCTACAAAGTGGGTTGCAATGAGGTGTTTCGATTGCGAATTACTGTCGCCAAAGGCAACTCTCCTTTAGTAACCGCGACCTGCTGCAATCGAAAATATATTTTGTAACTAGTAGTTGCCATCTTTCGCGACTGGCGGATGAGGCATTGTAAAATCATGCGCGAAGGACTTCAGAGGCTCTGATTACTTTGATTAATCCCTACCGCTAGGCTATTAAGAAGTGGTGTTGGGGATACGCCTTAAGGTCGCCAATTCTGGAATGCTTTCACATGCCGAATAACTTTAGTGTCAGCCAATCAAATCGTCTCAATTACCACGGCGGATTTGATTGGTTGACGCAGCATGTGAAGGCACCCTGAGTGAACACCGCTTTCGCTTCGTTCACGGTAATTCATTGATCTCTATTCTTTATAACTGAACTGGCTGCACTCCAAGAGGGTTACGCACACTGAAACGTGAGAATCTTGTACGCACGCTTCATACACGCTTCAATGTGTACATAAATTTCTCGTGCGGCCAGTTGAGCCACAGACCACGTGTGTGAAGGTCTTGATTAAATGACTAAAAAGAACAATGAAATTGTTACATCATTAAACATATGTAGCGATAATTTGACTTTTTTTTTTTATCAAATCGACATTGAGAATAGTTTAGATTGAAAGGAGGAGATACATTATGCCAATCAAGATCTGCTTAATTATTGTTCGCTGAGTGTCAAAAGTTACCGCATATAAAATAATCCCTTTGGAAAATATAATGTATAAGTAATATTTCGAATTTAACCTTATTTATGTAATATAAGTTGTGTGCATAAATTGTCTTGTATAATTTACATGCAAAGATAATGAACGGACTCTCAACGAAACAAGTACAAAGGTTAGAGAAGAAGAAGAAAAAAATGGCAGCATATTTAGAAATTGCAAAACTTAACGACAGAGATAAGGAAGCAAAGTCTCAGAAAGAGGTTGGTAAGAAATGAAAGAAGAACTATTTAAGATCAACTTGTAGTTAACATTTATTAATTCTTTTCAGACATCAGTTGTCAATGATGTATCCAGCAAAAAGAATAAGACTGATGTGATGACTGTAGAAGTTTCCAATAAACGATCCTATGATACCAATAATGAGAACAAATTGGCTGACTTGAAAGATGAATCACAGGCAAACAAGAAGCCTAGGTAATTTGTATCAATTCACATAGATGTTTTCTGCTGCAAAATGTAACAATATACAATAATATATAGTGCAGTAAATGAAAAGTTATAATGCTTCTTCTGCAGATTAAGCGGCAACGAATATGCACTCTTAAAACAGGAACTTAGAGAACGTAAAAAGAAGCTTTCAACAATTCCGAGACTTACTCTTAAAGCAGGTGGTGCAAATGCTACATTAGGGGCAAATAAAGTAGGACAGAGGATACCAATATTTCTCAGTGATGTACAGCATCTTCTACTATATTCGTTACTTGGACATTATAGTCCCTATTTACCAACAAGATGGTGTCATTTGGAGAAGTATAACAAAGTAATAATGGCTATTGTAGTGTCTCTCCTTTTGTCAGTGAAAATTACCTCAATGCCTTCTCTCGCCACAGGTAAGCCACACTGTAGTTCTTGTGTTTGAAGGATTATCTTTATATCATTTTATGGCGCACGAGAGCATGTTTCCACACATAACAAACAACTTGGAATATCAGTTGGAGGTTGTAACACCCTCTATCTATGGAGCATCTATAACAGAAGAACTTGCAGCTGTTCCTTTAACGGGAACACAGAGTTCTAAATTAATTCAACGTATGTACATCGCACTTACACATAGAGATGTTATAATATATTCGTAATTGCTTGATTTCTGTGATTCTCAGAATACGGTTCTTTGGAATCTGCTTTACAAACGACCGGGAATGTCATCAGATTGTTAAAAACCGTATTCCCGGTGCGCTTACTGAAGGATGGTAAGGCGGAAACTCGCGAGAATTTACCGCAAACTGACAAGTTCTGCAGAACGAAACTGCTCTTGTCGTTATGGCAGATGGTGGAAGAAAATTATCCCGTACCTCTGAAAGGAATTTTAGCCGAAAGGTAAGCTTTCGTAACACAGATTATATCACGCGAATCACATAGTAGACTCGTAGTGGACGGATATATTCTAGATACGATTCATATGTATTGACAAAGGACCTTTATAAAGAAGCCAATGCGACATCACCGATGTTCGCCTTAGATTGCGAGATGTGCAAGACAACGAGCGGTAATCTGGAACTCGCCAGAATTAGTGTCGTGGATGAGAAAATGAACGTAAGTATAGCATTATGAGGAAAGGCTTGTTAATAAATTCTCCGTTTTAATCTCCGTTTTGCCACAGATTATTTATGACAGCCTAGTGAAACCGGAGAATCCGATAACGAATTATCTGACGCGCTACAGCGGCATTACCGAAGAAATGTTGGAGAATGTTACAGTTAGATTAAGCGATGTTCAGTGTATGCTAAAAACGATACTTCCTCCTGACGCGATTCTTGTAGGACAAAGTCTGAATTCTGATCTACATACGTTAAAAATGATGCATCCTTACATCATTGACACCTCCGTGATATTCAACGTAACTGGTGACAGGTATTGTGTATGCGTTTATATAACATGCAGTACTACTAAAGGATCAAACATTTTCATCCTTTTGCGAGAGCAGTGTATCAAACGATTATATCGAGTCACTTAATAGTTTTTATTTCTTCCTTATTGTACAATATTTTTTTCTCACAGTAAAGCTGAATATATGTCTGCTGTGATGACTGCATATTTAAAAGATATTAATTTGCTTCTTACACACGTGTTTGGTTAAATATTCATTATAGTTGTCGTCTCGCTATAGAATATAAGCTTACATTTATAATGGTTCCATTCGACTAGGTACAGGAAAACAAAGCTGCAGATTTTAGCGCAAAAATTTCTCGGGGAAATAATCCAAGCTGGCAATGAAGGACATTGTTCGGCGGAGGACTCGAAGGCTTCTATGAAATTAGTTCAATTAAAATTGGCGAATAGCGTGAATTATGGGGACGCAGTGTTGCTCGGTGATTGCGACATGGAAGTCTTAAAAATGAAAGTGAATACGGAGACGTTATCACAGCGGGCGTTACAGAAAATGGAAGCCAAGAAATACGGCACATCGATATTTAATCACTTGACGAAAGATAAAAACACCGCCGCCATCGTGGGCAAGGAGGAAGTGATATTGGAATATGCCAAGTATTTGGAGAGTTCGTCTTTGAATGTCATGAGCGATGAAAATTTCACCAAGGGCGATAAGGTAAGTGCGCACTGTTGAATGTTAAAAAAAAAATAATTCGTAATATTGTTATTCCTTGGGTCGTTAAGGGAATATTTTCTCAATTGAAACGTTTGATAGGTGGCCATTAGGAACTTTTTTGAAAAAAAAAAAAGTTTTGTATATTTGAACTAGGATAAAAGTCCTTAAAATGTCATTTTGACAGCCGTTAACGATAGAGCGAGGATGTGATTTACTTTTTGAGGTGCTCAATTTTTTTTCTCATAAATATTCTGTTTGTTTCGTAATTAAAATGCCATAGTCGAATGAAAAGTTGGTTGCTTTAAAAGGGCAATTACAACGTACAAAAATCTATTTGTTTAGAAAAAATAAAAATCATACCATACTTGGGGATTCACGGATCAAGTCTCCTCCTATATCCCGGTAGCACAATTCATTGGTTTAGCTTACATCGATTTTTATTAGATTATCTTAATATCGACGATGCATGTAAACGACGGTGTATCAGCCTTTTGCATGCGGTAAGATGTCAGATAGTCGATACCAAGTTAATCTAATAATATAGAAACCCGGTAAGCTATTACTTATACGATTTGTCTTTCTCAGTGCTTTCGATCTTTCATGAAGTTATTTCCTTCACCAATCGACGATTATTACGCCCTCGGCGATTATTTAGCTCTCAAGTGCATTCAAGATTGATAATGAAATAATTTTTGCGAATTTTTATGGCGAACACAGGTGCGCCTCGTAATAGCGGACAGCGATAAACACGCTGCAGTTCGGACCTCTGAAATAGCAATGGAACACAGTTTTATATTGTGTCACCTGAGGATTGAAGAAGAGCAATTAACGGACGAACGGATAGAAAAGACATTTCGTACTGTGAACAAATGGGTGGATCAAGTGTGGCGAAGTATCGCGATGAATGGTCTCGCGTGTGTATTATTTGGTGGACAAAATAATGCCGGAAGCGGCGCTTGTTTCCTAAGTATCAAAAGAGAAGTGCCGCCCATCACGCGAGCTTAGAAGACGCAATTCATTACACTCTTGTTAATCTCGAATCAAATTGAAATTTTTAAAGAAATGTAACTTAATGAAAGAAGCTACTTAATCGGGCAAAAAGTTCAATTTGATTTTGAGGCCTAACTTTGGCCTCGTTTACACCGATCGTTAAATTTTTCACTCACTCATTTCATACTAACTAGTATAATCGTATATCATCATTTTTATTTATTTCGTTGATGCGTGAAACGATGACATATCGTTTTAAATTTGCTTTAAACGATACACTATGCCGATGCGTTTGTTACGCCGTCGTTTACGTGTATCGTCGAAATTAAGGTGATTTGATGGAAGAATTACTACGCATCGATCAAACGATCAGTGTAAAACAATCACTTTGCGTTATATACTCAATAAAAGCAAATTATTCGTCAACCAAATAGTCATTATCTATGATCCTTCGTCGATCCTGTTTGAATAGCGCATAAGATTTAACTCGTCGTATTTTTACGCAAAGTTTACTGCCGAAAACCGAACTTTTTGACCGAACAACCGCTTTGTACAGAAAAGTTCCTACAAATTGTACAAATAATTACATTTAATAAACATTTCTACAGTTTTTATTTACCATGTGTTCCAACTTATATATATCCAAGCAGACCATCAAGATTCTTAACTAATCGCGTATGAATGGTTCAACCAATGTTTTAAAACGTTTCTTAATTATCCAAAAATAAAAAAAAGATACCTCCGTAAAACACATCAAACGCACTGAAAAATGTATGAATTGTTCTCAATATTACTTTTTGATAACATTGACCAAAGATTACAATATTCAGAAGATGTAACACAAAAACACGTAATTCAATCCTCCTTCAATAGAAATTATTATCAATTACAATGTTTTGGGCCTAATGAAAGAATACAAGCCCAGTGAGTGATATGCATTTAAAATGCGTTATTGGAAAAGCCGTCGTTTGACACTGCGCGCTGCTTTCGTAGATACATCAAATAGGTAGAAGTTGGCTCTCGTTGGTTTCTATTCAGCATTCGTTGCCTATACGACATTATTGAAACGACCGTTCTCGACGGTTGTTTATTGCCCTTCGACAGATTTACCACGGAGAACTGCGTGGTACTACCGCTGGCACTCAACGAGATACAATTGCTGTTCTTCGAGTCGTGGGATTTGGGCTTCTTTGTCGACGGCACGGCCTGTTCTTTGTTTTGCATGAGCTTTCGTCTCTTCGCTCGCGTTGGCGTATCTGAGAGTTTGTCGACCACGTTGTCCGAAAGTCGTTTCAGGCCACCCGTAGATGACAGTCGAGTCTTCTGTTCCTCAATATGTTTCTTCTTCCTTTTAACAGAGATTTCCTGAATTTCTCGCTTCTTCTTTTTTCTCTTCTCCAATTCTTTCAGCTTGATACGTTCTGTAGCAGATTTGATAACTTCCGCTGCTTCGCTCCGTGTTTTGACGAAAGCGTCATTCTTCGATTCAACTGTTTTTGACAAGAGGACATTTTGCAGTTGTGATTTTTCGGCTTTCTTGCCAGACTTCGATTTCGACTTTGGAGCTTGAGGTGGTGGAATATTTTCTTCCTCTCTCTCCTTTTCCTCCTTCTTCCTCTTTTTCTTCTTCAGTGATTCCCCCGGCAGAGTCTCCTCCTTACTGCTCACGGCTATTTCTTGCCGTTTAGCCTTTCCCTTTGCAACATTATCTAAAATATTTTCCGCAGACATTTCCCCGCTAGTTTGGTTTTTCTTCTTCTTCTTCTTCTTCTTACGCTCCTGCTGTACATTATCCCCATTTTCGTCCGTTTTGCTCACACCAATCTCCTTTTTCTTCCTTTTCTCAGTGAGCTGACATGTATCTTTGCAAGTGGTATCCTTTACAGTTAATAGATTACCGTAACTTTTCTCCTCCTTCTTTCTCTTCCTCTTTTTAGAAACATCCGATTCTACCGTATCTTGAGATAGTATGTTCTCAATGATATTCTCGTTCGATATTTCTTCCGTTTGCCTCTTGCGTCTCTTCTGTTTTCGTCGACCATGTTGCTGTATATTATCACCGAACAGCGCTACGAGCTCAGGCACCTCCTCGTCGCTATCCTTTTCATTCCTTTGCTCATCTTCCTCTTTGGATAACCGCCTCTTCTGCAGTTGACTAGGCTCGACTCTTAATTCCGGAGTGCTTTCATTCAATTTTTCTTTCATCAAATCTCTTATTGTAGGCGTTTCGGTATGAGTAACGTTCACAGTTTTGTTTAGTCCAGTTGTTTTGGACATTCCCTTTTCCAGTAGATCAGATGACAGCAGGCCAATGTGCAATATTTTCTCTTTATTATCTGTACGTTCCTTGAAATGACTCGTGTCTTCTTCCGATGTAGAATCTTTCCTCGATTTTCTTCTCTTAAGCGTTTCGCTCGCGCTCTTTAATTTTTCATCTTCAGCTTCTAAAGCCGACGCGGCCGTTTCAATATCGCTCACGAATTCTTGTTTAGAAGAATTCATCTTTGGCGTACTACATTCCAGCGATGTGCGTGTCGCTTTCGACAACTTTCTTTTATTTATTTTAGATTCATTAATTTGTTCCATCGTGTTCTGTTCCTCCGTTTCATCCATGTGCGACTTCCTCTTTATTTTAATCGACGAGCCAGAAGAGTCCAAAATAATAGTTTGCTCAATGTTCTTCATGTGAGATTTCGTCACATTAACATCCTCTTTTGATTGACGAGGTACAGTGTGCTTGGTAGACACTTTCTTCTTTCTATCGACTTCAAACGATTTGTCGGAAGTGTTATTCTTACTCACGTTCGTCTTCGCTCTGGCGGATTTTTCGCTTTCATCTTCTTCTCCCACTTGTTCGCTATTATTTTCACTCGTACCCTCCTCATCATTTGCACTACTACCTTCTACTCCCTCTTCTCTTTCGTCACCTTCGTCGTTCTGCTTCTCTTTCCCCTCTCTTTTGTTTCTCTCGCCTTCTTCTATCGCGTCATCGGCGACTATAAAATCAGCAAGATCCGAACCGTTGTCGTCGGGATCTGAAAATTCTGATTCCGACGTTCTACATTCATCGTAGGGAACATTGTCGTCCGAGTATTCTCGTTCCGCCGCATCCAGATTGTATTCTCTCTTGACATCGGAATCTATACTACCTATACCATCATCGTCAATGTTGTCGTCATCGCTACTGTTATCGTCAGTAATGTTATTCTTCTCGAACAAGTTACGAGCACATTTGTAATATTTCATCGGATCGTTTGTCGTATCGTTGCTCGATTTACTTGAGATGTTTGAATTCGAGCCAGCGTGTGCCAACATAGAATAGTTCACATCACTCTTTTTACACTTTAAATCCTTAGTTTGCGTCACTTCGTCATTTTCATCGGTATCCTCCGCATTTATCAATAAATCTTTACCCGACAATCTTTTCTTTCCTTCAGATCCAGCTTTATCACTATCCCCATTCGACTTAATCGAAGACCACCTTTTCTTCTTCAAATTTTTCTCATTATGTGTTTCTATATTATCCAGTAGTTCTTCCTCCGAGGTGCTCGCTTGGGATTCACTTGCGGAATTGTTTTGCGGACTCTGGGAGCTCCGCCTTGCATCTTTCGAAGATTTATTCAATGATTCTCTTTTGTCGGTTGATTTTCGCAAAGATGCGTTCCTGCATGATTGCGAACTTCTATTTGCGTCACCTCTAATTTCATCGTCGAATTCATCGAGCACTTTGACGGACTGTTCCGCTGCTTGTTCCAATCCTTCATTTAATCCAGGCTGACTGCTGCTTCGATTTGAAACTTCCTTCGACTTGTTTAAAAATTCAACCGGACTCGAACTATCCACATCTATACATATAGTCGGGGGAGAATTGTGCCCTATTGCAGATTTACTTTTAGCTGATGATTTTCTTTCCTCTACCGGTATGGATACTTCCTCTTCTTGTTTTTTCTCTTCCTCTTCTTCGTCATCATCGTCAATATTTATTAGCAATGTTTCGTCTATGGTGGACAATCTCTTTCTGACTTGCGTAGCGTCTAATCGGCTCTTCATTATCATAGTGTCGTCGGAATCATAATCGGAACATTCCTTCTCCCTCACTGTCTTCATGTTTTCAGCCGCCAACCACGCTTGTTTGTCCACCAAAACAAGATCACATTCGGCTTCGCTTTCATGATCCGCCAAGAGAGAATTCGAGCCACCACCTTCCGCAGCATTTTTCGTCTCAGCTGCATCTTCCTTCCAATTATCAGCCGGAACATCTTGAAACATGCTAACAATATCGACGTCAGATTTGTCGGCATCAATTTCCATACTTTCTTCCGCCGAGCTCTTTTTTTCTGTGCTCACACCCGATGTATCCTTTTGCTGTGTTGAAATCCCGCTGGTTTCCAATGAGGTGGACTCTGTCTTCTCAGATGACACATCTTGCCTGGGTTCCTCGCCTATAACATCACGGGATTGCGTATCTTGATTAGATGCTGCGCTTAAATCGTTGAGGGAAGGGTTAATCGTCTCCAGAGTGGGAGATTCCGATTGCGTTACACGATTAGATAAATTCTCCTTTATTCGTTCCGTAGAGTCCGATAAACCATCTTTCGCATCGTCCTGAGCTGCGGAGGCCAGTTCGACAACTGCATTGGATTTATCATTGCTAATTTCAACATCTATCGATTTACCCGAGCAATTGGTATTGGATTCTGCTGTGGTCTTCATCGATTCATCGAGCGGTAACTTGTCTTTATCTTGAGATACATTTGACTCCTCTAACTGTAAATTCATTTCATCATTATTAGCAGTTAAAGAGCATAAACTTTCTTGCCAAGCCACAGTTTTATCACGAGGCTCCGTATTAATGACATCTTTGTCCAATTTACCGGTCACTCCTGTTACATTTTCATCAGGTTTATTTACTGTTTCTACGAACGTTTGATCATCGAGAACCTCTTCAACTAATTCTACAGTGTCAACCGTTGACGGAACTGACTTAACCGTGTCATTCGTAATATGTTTCACTGTAGTTTCTGTCAATTCTTTCGAGCGACGGCGTTTACCTAAACTCGGCTCGTTTCTCGCAAATTGAGTTTCCTTCTCATTTAATGATTTGTTTGCAAAAACTGTGGTCGGAGATCTGGTGCTTAATGACGTTACACTGGTGATGATAGGTCCTACGCTTTTTTCAGCCGATGTATCACTAATAATGTTCAGCGTTTGATTTTCCTTGTTACTGGGATTTCTTTTCTGCTCTCCAATGGAAGTACTGAGTATATCTTCAAGCCTAACTGTTAACTCCTTCGTAGACGATTTTTTACATATGTCCATTAGTGAATTCTCAATTTCCGCCAGGCCTTTTTCATTTTCAATCGACTTATCTTCTGTTTTATCATTTTGAGAATTTGCGTCGACAGTGAGAATTTTGTCACTCATATCAGATGGTACATCTGCTGTGCTCGGAACTTCATCTGTAGTATAAAACAAAAAAAAAAAGGGAGAGAAAAACACAAAAATTATAAGTTTATTCATATTTTCATGATCCCTCTCATTTAAACTTATATTTAAATAATTACAGTGAAGAAAAAAGTCATTCTCCCATCTCTTGAAGATCGTACGGCCAAATTTTTTTTTCCCACTTACCTAAACTCTTCTTATCTACCATTGTTGCAACCGCATATTTACTTTGTATTTCGTTATTTTTCAATTGCTGAGATACTTCGTCTGGTGTTACAGCTGGTGTTACTTTGTCTAAAAATTTTAAAGCACATGTAAATGGATATCTTGAGTGGAAAAAAAAAAAAGAAAATAAAAGTATCAAAGCAAAAATATTGGAAAATATTGTAAAAATAATATACTTTATATCTTCTTTAATGCATCCCCCCCTCTCCTGCTTACCACAGCTATTATCTTCTTTAACTTTTTCCTCCTTCGTATCATCTATTTCCTGAACCTTTTGGCTTTCTTTAGAACCTGCTGCCATCTCTGATAAACAATAGTTCCCTATATTCACATTGTTGAGTAATATATGCATCTAATCCCAAGTATACACAATCAATGATAAGTGTGACAAGTTTGAAAAATTACCCGGATCTGTAAATTCCTCGACCAATTTGGTTTCTGTTTTTACATCAGATTTCTGCAGCTTATCCTCAACTTCCTCCTTAACTGGAGACTGCAATAACACAGATGCTTGTCTGTGTAATGTCTTGGTTAATATCAGACTCTTAGTTTGATCGGTCATGTTCTCCAGATCGACAGAACTAGCTCTTGTTCTACGTGTAGTTCTAGACGCTGGTGGTGGCGATTTTGTCTCAGACCCAGCACGCAGGATACGTTTACTGTCAATTCAGTTAAATTGTATCATGATAGAAAATATATCACTTATTTCTATTTATTTAGCAAAGTAAGAGAAACAAATAAATACTGATATAATGATCATACCTGACAACTCGTGCGCTAGCTCTGGTGGGTGTGCTGGATGTTACAGTAGTTAAACTTCTCCTTGTAATTCTTTTGGATGGAGTTACCGTTTCAACATCTATTATTTCACTATTCTCAGAAGAAATAGACGGTTTTCTAGTACGACGTCCTCTTAGTGTCTCTGTAGTAACAGAATCCATAGTAGCCATTCGTTGTCTAGTAAACCTGACTGGCTGATTACTGCTAACATTGGTGTCACTTTCAGAATCTGGTGAGAATTTCTGCAGCTTGACGGGTTGCTTTATCCTGCTACTACGACGTATCGGGGAATCTATCATGGATTGTACGATACTAAGTGTTCGAGTTCTACGGCCTGTAGCAATAAAATGCAAATAATAATATGAAATTAACAAATTGAAAGAGACTAAAACTTAAAAATCTAGAAATAAGATCCTGACAAAGTAACAATGTGATACAACTTACACAAGATTAATATGACAATCTAGTATTTGTTGTGTATGTGTGGTTTATGTATTCTCTCGTACAATTTAAGGCGATGACTTTGAAGGAAAGTAAATAAAACTGTTGCGCAAATTATATATCCGCTCGTACCGCAAAATTACAGCAATATTAATTAAACCGATAACAAACGTACGATTGATAGATCATGGAGAAACGGCCGGAAGCATATCTCGGAAGGTTAATAACTCAGCGGGAATGATGCTAGGAGAAGCAGCACTAACAAGATCGTGGGGGAGATCAAAGATCGAGCAAAAGATAGGTTCGTCTTACAATGTTCTCAAGGAATGGATAACGAGCGAACTTTCGAAGGTCGATCAGACCGTTGCAATGGTCGCCCTTGGCTTGCGCCACATGCGCATATAGACGAACAATACGCACCTGTTCTCGGTTCTACATCTTCGTCCGAGTCTCTCGTAGAACGTGGCATCTTTACAACTGTTCGTAAAATTGTATATCAAACGTGGGACAGTGGGCAATTCTGAAAACTCACATGAACAAATTGATTGTTGTTCATACCAAACACGTGCTAACGCGAAGCCGAGTTTCAATTCCACAACGACCCGATTACCAACGAAAACTGTCGATCAGTACCGATTTGCTGAAATCCCGCGTAAAATCAGTATCAGACCGTATGGATTGGGGATTGAGATTGAATTTGGCCAATCGGTACAAAGTTAACTGAACACAAATCTAGTGAAATTTAGTGAACTTCGCACTGATTGGTCAAATTTCAATTCAATCCAGTAGTCTGGGCTATAAGCACTTTTTCAAGCATTCATGTTGGCGTATGAAGCTGTACTGACCAAGACGAGGGTTGCGTTCAGAAACACCACACTGAGGATAGAGCGCCGTTTAACTGACCAATAAAGATAAAGAAATCTGTTTTTTTTTGTTCAAAGGCCGTTCAAATTTAGCGTGAGAGACATCAGTGTTGATTCAACCATGGTCCAAGTCGCTGCAATGATCGCTGGTTTCTCAACATTCTTGTCAATCGCAACCTGAAAGATTCGCTTCAAGTACAGAAGAATTTCGTATAAGAAGAACGATTGTTGTCAGTCGGACGTGCATTATTGGCCTGTTCTTTTTAGTTGAATTGACTGCACTAGTTCAAGAAATTTATGCACACTGAGAATCTCGTACGTATGTTTCAATGCGTATGTAAATTTCTTGAACTAGTGAAGAAGAACCGATCATATGTTGATAAAACCAGCAGAAGCATATAATAATAAATGTTGTAATTTACTTTCAGTTGCACACGAGCGAAACGCAACGTCTTTACGTTCGCAAAACATTTCTAGGTTAAATTCTCACACGACGATGATGAGGATGGAGTTGGCTTTGTTGAAAAGTAAATTTCGCGGTTCGATGCTGGGTGTTTTGGTCGGCGATTGCGTCGGAAGCCCATACGAAGGCGATGAAACCTTGACGCCCGGCATGAAAACCGTTCTACAACAGTCTTTTGACAAATTGGAAGGAATAGAGTTCAAAGGTTGGGCTCTGATAATTTGTTTCTTGGCCTCGCACATAATTTCGCGGGTTTGAAGTAATGAATTTGCATATTATATTTAGTCTTCAACAGGTCTGTTCTTTTTCGCTGAATTAGTGTATAATAATTATAGGACTTGAAAAGAAACAGATATATAGTTGATGGGATAAAGGAAAGAGTTAGTGCAGCCAGTTTCGTGAAAAAGAATAGACCTAATATTTGTACCATCTGTGATTGTACGAAATTTTCTGTGAATATACATGGGTTTGTCCAACAAGTCACAATTCTGATGTGGAGGACCTTTTTAATCGTATAGCGCCTGTTATGCAGTTTACAGATGACTCGGCAATGACACGGTCTTTAGCTGAGTCATTAGTCGAGAGGAAATCTCTGGATGTTGTTGATATAGCAAGGCGATTTGTGAAAAGTTACTATCAAGAACCCAATCGTGGTTATGGCGCCAGTGTTGTAACTGTTAGTATATCATTCCAGTTATATGCACATACTAAAGAAAAAGAAAGCATATCTGAGTATCATATATAAGTATAAGTAAGTTTGCTTCATACATTTCAATTTTTCCTCAATACACAATCAGATGCAAGTTCTTCTTCAAATGCGAAACATGCGTACATATTGTAAGATACTTCCACTGTTTCGACTATAATTGTTTCAATGGCTATATAGTTTGTGATAATAATGCGAGTAATGTTCTGTTTATACAGGTATTTCAGAAATTACGCGCTAACAAATTAAAGGATACACTCGGTCCAGCGAAAGATCAATATAATGGTTTAGGTTCCTTTGGCAACGGTGGCGCAATGAGAATTGCCCCTCTATCTTTATTCTGTTACAACGATCATGATAAACTCATAGATTATGCTAAGAAAGAAACCGAAATTACACATACGCACAAGTGGGGAATAAATGGTGCTATTTTACAAGTAATAGCAGATTAATGTTGTAATAGGACACACCTGTATCTGCCATTGTTAGATATCCATCTTATAAATCTATCGGCTTTATAGGCTTTAGCAGTTCAACAAAGTCTAATCTTAAATCCCAGCGAAGAATTAAATGCTTCCAGTTTCGTCGACGACCTGATTGAGAAAATGGATAAAATCGAAGATGATCGAACAGAAGATTAGTATGTGTCACATATTATCGCATTCGAGTATCGGCAGCAGTATACAAATGTTTCCTTTCAACAGTTTTGAATTAGACGAGGAGCGTTATAAAGACCGACTATGCGCTATAAAGGAATTAATTTCTATGGATGGTGATGGCCCGCATGACGAAAAGGTAGTGCAGACATTGGGTGTTGGCCTCAACGCTTTGTACTCGGTTCCTACCGCAATTTTTTGTTTCTTGCGAGCACAAAAACCTATAAAAGGTATAAAAACTGACAATCCCCTCAGAAGAGCAATTCAATATGCTGTAAGTTACAAATCACATAGTAAGCTCTATCATGTGCATATATAGTTGAATAACATTGGTCAATAAGTTTCACATCATAAATTACATCGAGGGTTATGGTTGTAACTGTTAGTAATCGGTCCAGTTATATATATACATGCTGTAAAAAAAAGTATACCTAAATCGTAGTATAACTAAGTATACCTAATATACCTAAATATGTAAGTTTGTTTCAAATGCGAAATATGCATACAAGACGCTCATAACACGCGTTAGAGCAGGAAACTTGGGATAGCTTCCACCAACTCCGGTCAATGACATATCGATAACGCCTGCTAGAGAATTCGACGTCCTATTAGGAAAGATGACCTTGCGAAGACATGCCCTTTTCTCCACGAAAATATCAAATTCCTTTATGATTACTGTTCACCATGTAATAAAAATTAGAACCAAGTTCTGATTTTAATTATTATATTTGTGATCGACACTATACAAAATTAACTAAAATTGTGAAGAACAGAGTCGGGATATAATTTTTATGTTGACCAGTGTAATCATAGATTTCGCATAGAGAGTGAAGCAACAAAATTGCCACTTGCATCTAATATATCTTTTGTGTATGTTATTATTTCGTAGATTACTCTAGGCGGTGATACAGACACAATTGCTGGTATGACTGGTGCGATAGCGGGTGCTTTCTACGGCGAAGAGAAATTCAGCCCGCTGCTCTTGAAACATTGCGAATCGTCGATACAGTTTCGCGAATTGGCCGACAAATTGCTGAATGTGGTTACGCAAGCATAGTTACTTAAATTTCACCGCATTTGTAATTATTGTAACGTATATTAAAGTTAGCGGTTAATTAATAACGACTTTTTTTTTTAATACAGATATGTGTACCTGTGTGTAGTTTCTATGCATTTACATTTGAACTACGGACAACAATTTTTTATTTAGGCGACATATTAGTTACTAAATACCATACCATAACTTGTAACTATGGCACATTGAGTATTACGTGTTTCTTACGAAGTACATTTCTTTGTCCGTCTTGCCGACTATATAGTAAGGATGTTCGATTTTATTTAATCGGTTCTCTCTCTCTCTCTTTCTCTGCGATTTTATCGTGATTGTTAGAGGAGAATCGATTCTTCATTTTTCAGGAACAGTATATTTGAATGAAGCCGATGACATACAGTGTTTGTCTTTGTACCAGGAATATCGCTGATTGATGCATTTTCAGACATAGCAATTCAGCGCGAATAAATATGTATTATCCGATTTATTAAGGAAAATAAGGCGTTATCTTCTATCTTTATCGCTTATTGGATGGAAAACAGTAGCAAGAATAGAATGACGCTGTAGCATTGATACCGCGCTCCTTGAACGCCTCTTTTATCGCATAATTTTTTAAATCGATTTTCACAAGATTGATCTTTACGATTTTTTCAGCGAATCCACTATTTCGATCAATTCAGAAGTCATGATTTTGTCATGAGAATCCAACTTCCGTACTTTATAGTTAATATGTGGCAAATTGAAAGTCACTCTGAGATGATGTTTGGAAACATAAGAGTGCTAGTGCTGATAATTCTTCTATGCGCTATGTGAATTTTGGATTGAATATTGGTATACTTGCATATAGCTGTTGTAAGCTTCCTACAGGATCAAAAATGATGAGGCAACATTGGTGTCCCGTAACTTCTATAGGAAGGGGTGTAAATTGAAACACAGTCGTTTAAATTTCCTTAGTTTCCTTAGTCGGTTCCTTGACATCTTCAACGATCACAGAGATATTTGAAATGTAAGCACGGTCGCGTTTTCAGTCTATAACTTTATCAAAGCGTACGTTAAAAGTGCAAATTTCATTATGTACGTTAATGATTCGACTAAAGAACATGAAATAGCAACGATAAATGTGTCGTAAAGCGATGTCTTATATGAAGTTATAGAAAATGTACACAGAGATATATATCATTTATATAAAACAATTGTTTTTTTTTTTTCAATAATTTTCAAGACATATTTAACAATACATTCGATTTTCGAAAACTTCTCCCGGTTTAAAATGTCCATAATGCAGTGTCTCTTATTCATTTAGGTAAATAAATATTTAACATAAAAAAATGTGAGGACTTGCGGTAAATAAGGTTTGCAGATATATTAATTACATAAGCATGACGAGGCAAGAAGAACCCGTCACATTTTCTACTGTATATAAATTTCTCAATAAATTTGGAGATACCAAAAAAACTTGACATTTCCTGATCCAAGATATTTTTTATATATATTTAAGGTTACGAAGTAAATCTCTGTTTAATGACATTAGAAGGAAGAAGTTGCATGTCAAGATTTCTCGCATATAAAGGGATATATTCACAAAATGACGATCAATTCAGCAAACTTGTAAAATTTTCCTTTGCTCGAACAATCGATAAGTAATCGTAAAATTGACAAAATCACGAGAAAAGATGTTGAAGAAGAATGTCACGTTAATTTTGCGACTACTCTTATTTTTACGTACTCTCACACGGACCAGTCATACAGTTTTATGTACTATCTACACTACAAACAATTTAAATGTTATATACTCTGAACAGCAATTATGAACATAACAAAGATACCGTGATAACACATGTTTACGTTAATTAACGTAGATTTTACGCGACTTATCTCTCGTACGCTGAGTTTATAAAAAATTTCCGGAGAAGGCAGTTATGAAAGAAATATACATTATTTGCACTCGTACAATGAAGAGTATTACATGACCTGTCCGCCAATTTGAAATCTCAGAAATGTTATAAAATGTATATTGCGGAAAGTGTTTCCTCTCGTAAAAGCTTGTTTCCTCATGAGCCGTGACAAGAGTTCCTCGCTGTTCGATGACGTCAGAAGCGAGAAATTGCATGCCGAAATATATTACGGATATGCGGAGATTAAAGAATATATGCACAAAATTGCAATTGTGATCGCACACTTGTAAAAATGTCCTTTCCTTTAATCTGAATGATCAATAAATAGCCGTAAAATTAACGCAACAGAAATCGTGAGAAAAAAATTAGTTAAAAACGCAAGTACACATATTACACTAATTTTCGGCTATTTATTGATTGTTAAGAGTCCGGCAGGAGATTCGATCTGGAAACCTTGTACTCTGCGAAAGTGCAGTATCTGCGTGTGTCCATACACACTATTATTATATCTCTCGCACTTACTACGTCACACTTTCCGCGATATATGCACTTTCCAGCTTTTGTCTACGTAGAAGCCATACTTTCCTATCCAATATTTTTTTGAATATTCTCAATAATATTCACTAGGGACAAATCCCGATTTAGACCCTTAAAAATTTATAATAAATGCGGACTCTTGCTGCAATTCACATTGGGCGCTCATTCAAACAATAGCGTATTATTTACTGTTGTCCGAAAAATATCGCTCTGTACGTCCCTGCAGATGGTTCCCCTAATTATGAATATCATAATTATAAGGTGATTCTTTCTTTATTTTGGCCTGGAGGAAAGATTCTGTAGTTCCGGGGCTACCACAGTGACCTCCTGCCGGGCCTTTTGCACAATGGAAAATCGGAAACCACGTATCAATTGCTACGCATTGATGCACGGTTTCTGATGTATTCTATTGGCTGTGTTATTCTTCATTCCTATGGTTTTCCATTGTGCAAAAATGGGCTTCAAAGTGCGCAAAATTGTGAATTAGCGGGGAAATAAAACATTCCCCAAGGAGTAACAAAATATGCACAATATCTTTCTTGTTTTTATATAATATTAGTGAAAGTAGCATCACAGTCCTAAAATTCACGCGGTAGAAAAATTTCAACGAGCTAACGTTTTTCTGTTCTATCCATAAAATAATATATCTCAACCAATAAAAAATTCATCCTACACAGCAGAATGATCTAAATGTTTAAAAACATCGAAAAACATTTCTCGCTCAGCCTCTTTCGCTTTTAAAAATATTATCTAAATAATCTATCGCAGAGCGCTCTCTATAATCCGTAATGATCGCATAATAATATTCTAATAATGGCAGAATATCGCTTACTCCTTCACGCCGCGTCCACTAATGAAACATTGTGGCAACATTCGCGGGAAATACACTTATCGGACATTTTTGAATCATCCGAATCCATGTTAATAGTTGTCAAACTCGTCTCATGTGAAATACTCAGATTTTAATTAAAAATTTGACCCGAGTTTTTCAGCTGGATTGTGTGATATAGATTTGACACTACTTATATAGCACAAATCCTCTATAGACACCCTACCCTAGTACTTCGTACTTCGTTTTTATATTAGTTTTACATCAGCTAGCTAATGCTGGGGAAATGTAACGCCAATGGAACATCCTAGGAATATTCGAATATTTCTGAAACTTTTTGTGATTATGTTGTAAACGCTTCGCCATATAAACCAATTATATTTTTTTAAGCGCTTCAAAGAATTTGCAGTTTCAAGTGGATCGTACCTTATAACGCTAAGAATCTCATATTTAACTACGAATAAAAAATTTCTGAATATCTCATACGAGACGAGTTTCAGCTATTAATGCAAGTCCTGGTGTGCTTATCATCAAGAATTTCCGTAATTAATGAGCACCGTTTTAGTTATGCAAAATCATGTCGGAAATGAATGTTCCGAATTTCGAAAATGTAATTGCGAATAACATTTAAAAGACGTCGCTGTGTTTCCCTTGGATATTGCTCGCACAGTTTTCGTGTCTCGATTTCACGTGGGTTCAAAGTTGTAACCGAAAAGCGGATAGAAGAGTAATGGAACATGTTTCGGTGGGTGATCTGCTTTTTGTGATTGCCTACGTAAATTTTGACTCGATTAATCGAACACGCAGGAGAGGACTTGTATGAGGCAGTTGCCTATCCTAGCGCACGTCCTCTGCCCTTGACTAGCGCATTCCTTCCTCCTGTTTTTCCGGTTGTCTTGTCGCTCCTTCTTGCCCGGCTTCAACATGTTGCAGTCTTGAGTGTTGCACTTGTACCTGCTGACCCTAGGCGTGTCGGACAACATTGACGGATGAACGGCTGACGCGCTCCGGAGCTATAAATGAAAGAGACCTTCCGTAATTACGGTTTGAAGAGTAATTTGGTTTAACAGTTTTTACAAAGTGCTTTATTTTACAACATAATCCCCTCGACATACTTCTCCCAACCTGGTTTTTTTTTTCACCGAATCCCTCCCGAAAGGGTCCCGGAATCGAAACATTTTTCAACGGGTTACTTTATTTGGCGGTGAGTCTCAATATTTAAAAATAGATTTTTCCGTCTTCAACTTTTCTTAAATAAGAGCGCAAATAAAGACGCGCACTCACACTACCATCCACCGAGCTCTCGGGATGCTTGAGTATTCTCGAGACGATATGCACGCATTCCTCGTTCGTCAGAATGCCGCTCGCCATAGGACCGCTAACAAACTCTTGATCATTCATGAGAAGATACCGCACGCTGAAGCAAATTTCGTCTGAGAGTACAGCCCTCTTGTTGAACGGCAAGGGCTCGAGACCTTGTCTTCGGCACTCGGCTGCAGCCCACCTGTCCAACGCTGAGAAAAGGATGCACTCGCTGCTGAGATTTAAAGTATCGCGGCGTGCTAAATGGGCCACCTCTTGGACACTGAGTTCCTCGAAGCGTTCTTGATGCAGCACCACCGCCGGACTCAAGTCGATCACAAATAGGCACTTGAACAAGAGATCGGTACACACAGCCGCTGGAATATGAGCGAAAATAGGCAGTTAGGTTTGAAAAATTCGTCGGTCAAATCGGATGCAAGCTATTGGATTGATGTAAAAGTATGTTCTGTCGTTTGATGATATTTTCCCGTGCTTTCATTATCCTATCTCGACGGAATAAGCAAGTTATGACGTAACGTCACAAGGTACATCATAAGTATTACGGCTCCAAAATGAACGCTACGCTCATAAGTGCTCATCCAAATCAAACGCACCTATAAATACGGTTTGTTCCTTCATTTGTAATTATGCGGAAATATTGTTCCTGAGAAATATAACGTAACCGAAAACATACCTATTTCATTGGCTTCATCTCCAGGCGACATCGGAGCTGACGGTGAGCACGGCGATCTATCGGAATCAGGTGTCGAATTGTTCGCGTAGAGTCCGAGGCCCTGATAGATCTCGAGCACAGTTATTTCGTCCAATTTTTTTTCGAGAAATGCTGCGGCAAGTCTTGCTAACTCGGGACAAAGATATTGATGTGCAGCGTCAAGCGTAGCTCTAGCCGTCGACACCGATATGAAGTTTACCGGTTCATCGTGAAGATATCTGTGATTTAACGGATAATAACGTCTTTCCGCTTTTATTCTTTTCAAGTATGGGTACATGTGTATATACAGGGTTGGGTAAGTTAGTATTTCTTTTAACCAAATTAAGTTAAAAGTTCATCGCCTAAAAAATAATTAAGTTGGCGTTGAAAGTTAGGAGTTGATTATGCAAAGCAATATATATATATATATATATATATATATATTATATTCTCATAAAAGTGAGGACATCTCAGCAAGAGTTTGGACGAGTGAAGATGAAATCTGTCTTAGGATTTACCTGAGGAAATGATCGAACGCTCGCTTATCGACGTGTTGTAACTGCAACAACGGCGGGGAGTCTGTCACTGGCGGCGCAAGCGGACCAGTGAGCATCGCCCGAAACCATTCCGATCTTCTGGCTAGCTGCTCTCTTTCGACGCAGTACGTCCACGAGTTGCCGGGTAACCCAGCCTGCATACGATACATTTTTCGCAATGAATATGTTCCATCCATGGGAACTTTTCATTCATGTTGCGTGGGTCGCATGCGCCCCGTGGAAACTGTATTGTACATGACATTTATGGGCATCAATTGTGATTATATGAAATATTTTTGATATGATTACATATTTATTACTGATACGTATATTCATTGCTGATTCAATGATATAATTTTAATAATAGATAATGTTATTAGTAGTTAGATAGTAAAAATATATACAAATATATACAGGATGTCCTAAACTAATCTCGGTTCCCGTGGTGTGCAAGTAGAATGAGTGAGCAGAAATGTACCATTTTGCAAAATTCGCAATAGTTGGTGAGGAATTATTTTGTCCGAACTAATAAACGCACGGGACCGGACATTATGTAAAGAAAAATCGCTTAATTCCGAAGATCTTCTAGCAACGATGAGCATCAACTGATTTCGAAAGGTGCACGCAGCAAGTGACACAGGATTGGAAAAGAAACACGTCGCTTGCTATCAATTGACACTCATCGTTACCAGAAGATATTCAGTCATTTTTCTTCATACAGAGACTAGCCTATCTCTTCCCGTGACAAAATAATTAGTTCCTCATTAACCATTGCGAAGATTTGCAAGATGACGTTTCTGCTCAGTTTCATCCGTTCTACTTGCACGGGAACCGAGATTAGTTTGGGACAGTTTGTACACAGAATAGGGCACACCTCATCAATTTCTTTCTCTATTTTGAAATATGTTATAAAGAGTGAAATTCTGAATAATTTTTATCAATGCAACTATATGAGAGTCGCATGTAGTTTCGGAGATAAAGTTTAACATTTTGATGTTAAATTCCAGAAATATCATAAGCTGGCATTACTTACAAAGTTTATACGTGCTATACTAATCCCTTATTCAAACAAAGAAAAGTATTACATTATTTATAATATGATTCATTATTGGCGATCGTCATGTATCTCAAGCGGTTCGAGAGCAGCTTTCAATATTCGACTACACGAAGCCTTGTTGAGGATAATGATAAATTAATAGATCTTTTTATCAATTGGAAAGTTATTCATGGAGATATTACCCCTCCCCCCCCCCTTATATGGCAAGCCCGCTATATGGCGCGCGAGGTGAAAAATATATTTAGGATCATACAATATTGACTATTAATGATATCTTGAGGTCGCTGAACTTAAACATGGCGGGTCCAATATGGCGGACTAAAATGCAAAAAACGACTTCGATGAAACTCAATAGTCGACAGTTTTGAAAGTCGCTAATCATGAATGTAAACCCTCGAAACTAAATTTGATCGAAATCGAATTATTTTTATTTCTATGCCGTTTGGGGTATAAAATGTTGCTTGCCGCATAAAAGATTAACAGACGATATATACCTGGAGCATCACCATGTTCCGTCGATCCGCGATTTCTTGCGCGCTACTGTTGGACGCCATGAGAGGAACTCGAGACATATCGGCTAGGAGATCCTTGCGGGACGTAATTAACGGTGGAATCACGATTATAGAGTAAATTCTGCTCCGCAGTCCCCCGTGAGGTCTTCCGCGGCGTTTTTCAGACTGGACGCGAGAACATTGCGAGTTGCCTCCTGTACAAGAGTTAGAAGCTCCATTCAATATTAGGTAGCATATTGAGACGATCGCGTTGGAAAAGTCGATTATTTGAAAATCGTCGTGGAAGAAAAAGTAAGTGTGAAACAAAATTGTGCAATATTTCTTAGATAAGAAAAAATATCACTTTAATCTCGTTATAGAAATGTTGTATCGCGCTTCGTTTTCAAAGACACCTCTGCGAAAAGATGACGCAACCTTACGTGTCGCTTTTTTATGGGGCTGTTTCTCGCTCTCTCTCTCACTCACTTTCATCGCGAATCGTCAATGATTCACATACTCACATGTTATCTCACAAGGCGGTTCAATGACTTTTATTTTTACGCGTTTTATCGACTTTGCAGGCAATACGGTATCCTAATTCACACACGGCGGTATTTGGCGATATTTACGGAAAGATATTATTGCTTCCCTTACAGAAATTTAATCCTGAAAATTACTAAGGAATTTACAGTGATTAAATATTTCAAATTATATATATAAAGATATTGTGTGTCCTTTTTTATTGATATTAATAATAAAGTAAACATTATGAAAAAAAGGAAAAAAATACATACTCAGAACGGTATCGAACCTGGGTCATCTAGTTAGCGGTCCTAGTTCTTTTGCCGGAACACTTGTTTGATATTTGCTAACTATCTACTGTACTTCCACTGCTTTCTCAATATTTAATCACTACAAATAATTCAATAATTCTCAGTATTAAATTTCTGTAAAAATATATTTCATCACTACTGCTCTATTAAGCATCAGTATTTAAATATTCATATCAATAATGAAAGTAATTAATCACTGCAGCTTTAAGCACTGAAATATTTTTGGGATCGAGCTCTATAATTTAACAATCAATAAATATCTGCAAAATCAATAACCTTTCTTTTTGCCTCTTCACCTAATTTTGTCACATTAATTTTACGGCTATTTATTGATTGCTAGAATAAGAGGGAAATTTTGGGGACATTTTACAAATGTGATTAATCAGTGATATGTCATTTTATATCCTTTCGTTTCAACTCAAGAACTTTGAGCATACGTATTCCTTCCGCTTTTGACAATCAAGATCAAGTCGGCGAGGAAACAGAAGCCTCAACGCGTTCGCTGCTAAGGTATATTTGAAGAACTTTCTCCACAGATTATTTCGTACTTTTTCTTCTTATGTAATTGTAAGGAACAAACTTAGTTTGATAACGTGGACAGAAATTTCGCTGTCACACATACACAGAACGCTCTCATGAGAGATCGTTACTTTGCACATGTATCACACGCTGGTGGCGAACGTGTGTTATAAATATCGAATTTAAGAGTACTCGCCAAGTTTCTCCCGTGCCAGATGTATTGCAATTTCAAGGATATCGATGCTAACACGAACAACGATCTACGATGCAGCTGTATTGACAAAACAGCCAGGGATGTTTGATAGCAACATTATATATTATCAGTCAGCTGTAACTCTCACAACTCGAAACCTGACCGTCCGGCGCGTACTGTGAAATACGAATCTATTTCACGTACTTGCCTCAAGTCAATTGCATATTAATGGAAATATCGTCTGCACACTCTTATTTATTATTATAGCTTTTATAGAAAAAGACTGATTGTTCGGACGTTGAAATATTTATAACTAAAGTTGATAATCTTTATACGTGTTTCTCGAAGTTATTATTTTCTATCTCTATTTTTAAAATTTTTATAAAAAATTTCTGTGGTAGTAAATAATAATATACAGGCTAATGTATAGATTAGCATACAAACATTTCAGGATTACTGATTGTTTTGAAAACTCAGCGGCGGAAATTTCATAATTTATTGTAATACTTGGAATCGCAATTTTTCTGTAGCTCGCTGTTCAATGTGTTACTGTCCACCTATAGAAATCACAATTGATACTCATCGTTTCTACGAGATCTCCACAAATAAGCCATTTTTCTTTATACAGAATTCGGTCTACCATTTCTCGTGCGCTCATTAGCCGAGATAAAATAATTAATTCATTCATTAACTATTGTCAATTTTGCAAAATAGTACATGACCTTTCTGCTCAATTTTATCCATTCTACCTGCACACCACCGAGATTAGTTTGGAACACTTTGTATATATTTAAACATTTATATAATTTCTTTTAATGCTTGTGCATTTTCATTAGGTCAACTAATGTATAATAAAGCATTAGTGAAAAAGTAATGATGTATTTGTAATGCTACGTATATATATCAATTTTTTGCTTCACGTCGATCTTAATAATTCACTATATTTTTTTATCTATTTTCAATTATTTATTTTATTTAGATCAAGAAATAAATTTATGGAAAAATAGTTTCCATAAATGATAAAATTATAAAGAGTCTCTTTGATGTGAACTCATTGAAAACTCGATATTTCTAACTACTTCAATAAGTCAATTCTCCTTTAACTTTCCACGAATATGTGTTTCAAGTGTGTAAAAATGTAAGAAAATGTACGTTAAGTTAATGATGATATTATTAATTACTCACTGTTTGCGATTTAGTTTCGACACAATCTTCGATTTCTCCTACACAAATATATTATAGATGTTTTAAAGCAAGTTACATTTGGCTTCTCTACCGGTATTGCCTTTTCGGCAATTATAACAATATTTTTTTATCAAGATATCTTATCTCGCATGTGATAACTTTATGAGATCGAGAAAATAATCGTTACATCCCGCACGGATGGTCACCGTAAAACTCTTCCTTCACTTATCGTTAACGCGATATAAAATAAAATCGGCGAAGAACTCGGGGAATAACCCTTACAGAACGAGAAGTCTCGCTCGACTGACAGATCGGTCGGTTTCATGCTTCCATTATGAATGACTCAGATCCTCTCAGAGAGATCGCTTAATGTAAAGGCGTGTGTGCTTCATTTTATCCGACTATGTCGACAATTGTTTACAAACATTGTCGACCGGAAAGAGACGTGCGGGAATGCTCGCAATCCGTGAGAGGGACCTTATCGAACTTGTAGGCGGAATTGAGTAACTGAGTCTGTTTGTTGTACGCTCCATAGTCGGGTCGATCGAAGAATGGCATTATTCATGGCGGGACATCGTCCGATCATACAAAGCCCTGCGACAGAAATTCATTCTAATCTGATTAAAACATTTTTTCGTACACTGAGAGAAATCCCACTAAAATTATAGTAATTTTCCGCCTAAACTATATCTTTTTCTGGTTTTGATAAAAAAAATAGTGCATATAAGGTTATTATCAATGACATTATAGTAACACTTGTTAGAAAAAATTGGTTCTCCTGTCTGAAATTATTTTATTTATGCGATTATAGTTACAGATATAAAAAAATTTTTTCTCTCAGTGAATGGGGGTAGAAAATCCACTCTTAGCTCGAGTAAAACTTTCGCAATCGGCAGTATTTTCACTCGATCGTGAAAATATTGCCCCTTTTCACTTGAATAAGATTCCGCTCCAACTAATATAAAGAGTTTCTAGTTGCGTGAACCCAGTAAGCAACTGAATATTTATTACATTGAGAAAAAAGTTTTTGGTACAATTCTTTCCATAAGAAAGCGTACGGTCTTAAGGAGGTCGGGTTAAAACATCTTTACACATATTTCAATAGTTTGAAGCCTTGAAAATTTATTTGCAAAGTTTTTAATGAAAACTCGAAGAATTGTTGAAGTTATAGGCCGTAGATTTGAGCGGCGCGTAGATAGACAACCGCAGACAGATCGCCCTCCACTTCTGAATAAAAAAGACCGATTTATGAGGATTAATCTTCTCAAAATTGATTAAAACGATGCCCTATACTTGAAATAATAATGAGAACTTTAATGTTACAGAGTGGCATTTCACTTCGAAGTATATTTTCTTCATCGAAAAATAATGGAAATTGCTGTCTGCTCAGCGGTTTTTTATGTTCAATGAAGGATGCACACCATTATTAAAGATGATAGAAGTGCTGGGAATAAAATTCCGGCTCCACACAAAATTTTTCACAATTACATCGTGATGCTGAATGGTTAACAGCTCGATGGCCTTTCGAGTTTCGAAAGGCGAAGATAACTCGGGAAAATGAAAAACTGATCGTGTAATTTTTCCCTAGAATAAACGTGTGAAAAGTGAAAATTCTAAAAGTTTGCAAATTGGAAAATTTGCACTTTTTACGAATTCACGCTAGAGGAGGAGATTCATTACTCCGTACAGCTTTTAAGCAGCCGTCGACCAGAAATAAGGAAGTTACGACGCTTTTTACCATATGAATATTCTAAAACACTAGTCGAAAGTGTGTCAAGAAGGTACCTGACAATAACGGACTGGACTAAGTAATTGTGCCCTTTTCTATCTATTTTGACATATTACAGTCTTTTCTTTCTGACTTGTATATTTTCGACATGTATGTGGGAAAGTCTAATTGCATAATAGAATAATTATAGTCAAGAGGCGCATCTTTGTAGTAAGTATTATAATGTTATCGATAACTCCGTGTGCACGTCTCTATATATTGCTATCATTAGTTTTTGTTATAACAATAAAGAAATATAGTTGGCATAAAAAGAAAATTACTATGATCTGTTGAGAAATTAATGATTCTTTCTCCTACTGTCTGAAATATTTTTATAAATACATATAATTAAAAATATAATTTGTTTCTTTGAATTATTTAATGATCAAATCAAATTCACGTCGACTCAGTTCTTCATGACGAGACTCGTTGAAATGTCGCTACATTTGCGACGCCGTCGCGAGAACAAATGCGCTCTTTTATCCTCTGTTTCCTCCGACATTTCCGGCGACAATTCCGCCGTCGCGAGGAACGCGGATACATATCGCGGTCCAGGAAATGGAAAGGTGTTAATCGCCGGTACGACTGGAACGTCGTGGCTCGAATGAATAATTGTCGCGTGTTAACCGATCGCAATTGACTGGTCTCATCGACCACGTAAGGTACAGGAAGACTCTAATGATATTCAACGCGGTCGTGAATAAGCCCGTTTGAGAAGTTGAGATCCCAAGGCCGTTTACAGCTCATGCAAAATATATAAGGCGCAAAAATATATTAGTAACGCCGTCGACAAACGCCCATCCGGGTTAATCGCTAGAACGATATCGCACAATCACAGCGAGTTACCTGCTGCTCAGACTTTGGCGGAAGAAGAAAGAAAAGCATAATTAGAGAAAACGGCCTACTTATAACGCGTTTATTTCGTACTATAATAAATATCTCACAAACTTGCCAATGAGAATTTCCAGTGAGCGATAAAGTCATTTTTCGAAAAAGTTTCTTGCGGTGACGCTGAATAACGTATAATAGTTTCTTGTATATATGTAGTTTCTCACATTGCTATCAACATCATTATGCGCTTCGACATTTCCATATATTTCTCGTATATTTTTGAAATATTCGAAAGTTTCGCATTATCGGATAATATCTTTGGAAGATAGTAGAAACATTAAATGCTCGAGAGATATACATAAAATAAACATTTCAAATGTTGATCTAATGTTTTTTGTTCACTGAGTTGATATTTTTGCAACACACTTAGCGATAACGCTTTTAACGACGGTAATTTATGGCAAAAGTGGGGCATCAGTATTCCCCATTATTAACCATCGTGCCGCTATTGAGAATTTCAAAGTACGCGCATGTGTTTATAGCTGAGGAGTGGCTCATTGGAACGGGCATCACGGGTATTCGTAAACGATATCTCACGAGGATGTACTTAGAGTCGTACTTGGCACGTTATCGCACTTTTTGATCGATCGCGCGTAATGCATGTGTAACTGCGTGGAGTCGTACCCCAACGAGTTTTTGCACCAGAGATGGACAAGATACACAGCCGATATTTCACATATCGATATTTTGTATTAATATTTTTATAGAAATTTATAAATAACAAACAGAGCAATGTTTTTTTTTTGCGCGCGACATATTTTTCCCTTTCATATATATATTTCAATATGCCTCGAAGTGTAGAAAAATTTGATTTTTTGTAAAGTATAATTTTTGATTCTCTTAGCGACATTTCCTTCTGTATAGTTCTGCCCGAATAATTTCGTTCAAATTTACTTCAAAATTTCTTGTTTATATTTTTTCTACTGATTCTCATTTGGCGATCTATACTTTCTGATGTCTGATTATTTTTGTAGGAAATATTATTCTAAAAATGTTTTACCAAAGACAATTTTTTTCACTAAAACCTTTTTCCGCTATTAATAACAGAGAGCTGCCCAAAATCAGTTCAAATATATTATTTTATGATTTTGAAATGTTATTATATCTAATGATATTACGATAAGATTAATTATTGAAACGAGAAGGCAGCAAATCGCGCGATGTGACTTTAGTACGGTCTGCGCTTTATCATAGTACAAAAACGCTCGCGGAATCCGTTTGAATCACGATTTCGCTAAAATTAGAGCCACGGAGGTCCGCACTCGAATGTTCAAGGAGGAGGAAGGAGGCGAGGTCGTTTAAAGGAGATGAATTTTATCGAAAGAAGAACTTAGAGAGGGATCGAAAGAAACGAGAGCGACCGTTATAGCACTCGTTATGCAGGCGCGCTTGTCTCTATAAAACTATTAAAATTCAAAACTAGAGAGGGGGAGTTTAGCGCAGTTAACTGCAATCGCACGATTGAAAGAAAAAAAAAAACCTCGAGGGCTGTGATAATAATTAAACCCGCTGGGCCTTTTGATCCAATTGAACGCCTTCATTCGCCCAGACGCGCCCGCATTTTAGCGAGATCGGCAACGTGGGACAAAGAAAATGTGCAAAAATTGTGGGCGAAACTGCACGGTGTCGACGATTTGCCGGCATTCTTGATGGCGATATAACACGAGGATATTCATCCTTTCGGGCGTGAGTGATACGATTTCTGCGCTATGATGGTACTTTCTCTCGATGACTTCGAATAAAAAATTTTAACAAAATATGAAAAGTTATTTTTGAAACACAATTCGTTACTCGCATTGCTCGTTACACAATGAACAAAGTTGCATTAGTTATATTCAAAGTTTCCAAGAGTAAAATCTTATTGTTGAGTGACTCACAGTCGGCTCACTTGAATGCGTTTTCGTTCAAAGAATGAATTTTCTATCCCGCCACGTGAATATTTTCACTCAGAATTGAGCGAACACCTATTGGCATTACATATATACAGGACAGTATCGTTCGACCGTCATACGGAGGAAAAAGAACAGGAATTTACTCCTTTCTGAGGAATTACACGTCAAGAGAAAAAGAAAGTAATAATCGTTTATCGTTATTCACGATTTTACCGCAATAACGGGCATTGCATTGTAAATTGGAAGCGTTTGAATACGAATTGAGCGAAGATTAATAGCCGAAGGGAAAAGCTAATTACACTTTAACTGTAATATCGCCCGCTTGCCTTGCAATTACAAGTGCGATCACCGTGGGGTTCGCCGATTGATTCAATCGAACAGATGTCGAAGTTGTCCCCTTCGAGTTCGCCTGTATGTAGTCGTTACTTGTCGAATGAATGTAAAGTGATTACCATTTCTACAAGCGCTCACTCCACTCTGCTCCAGACCACAACAGTCATGATACAAAAAATGTATCGGAATATGTACGCATTTTAAGTCTGATCTACATATCGTGTATGCCCTAAAACCCTTGACCCGACTTTTTGTCACCTTTTGCAAGTCAAGCTCCGGTCCAACGGTAAATACGACCGAAATTCCGGCAAACGGGATGAAGAAGTAAAGAAAGGGTGCGAAAAAACGGCGAGTCGAACGCCTCTGCGAGACGAGAGCAGATAATGACCTACTAGTTGAGACGATTTTATAAAAAAAAGTTGGAATCTGTACCGCGCCTCTCGTTGATAATCCGTACACGGTGTTCTGCGAACAATGGAGTCCCGTATCGGGAGAAATCCGATGTCGGTCACTGTTATGCAAAATTTTCTCATCCACCATTGGTCGATTAGTAATATCTGTCAGCTTGATAGATCCTATTTATTTATTTCAAGGATGAAGAAAGTTTTTTTTCCTTTTCAAAAGTAACTTGTTACCCACGGAAAATAATTTATTATCGTCAACGGTGTCGCTGTTCAAACGCGTTGTTACTTTCACTATTTCTACCAAGTTTTGAAAACCTTTCTTTCTTTTTTCTTTTTACGTATCGCTGCCACTCCCATCCCATATACATATATTGTATTCCGTTTCAGATAACGACTTCAAAAGTCTCTTGAATGATGCATTTTAAAGAAAAATTTTTCATACGAAGGCTGCAGTTTCAAGGGGGACATATGGTAGTAACCTTACTTTGTTGTACAGTCAATAAGGTCATTTCAAGATCAAGTTTATTCTTTTTTTTTTTTTAATTATATCATAATCATATAATTAAATATAAGGATATAGTATAAGGAATCATATAGTTTCTTCTTTTTTTTTAACACAATTCTTTGTTTATATAAAAGTGAGATTATCGTAAAGTGAATAGAGATATTTTACTTCTTATTTTTCGTTATGCAAGATATAAAAAATCTCAAAAAATACACTTTTCAATAATATATGGATGCTTATTATCATTAAAATTCTAATCGAATTTTCTAATTTAATTTCTTATCGACGCGCATAAAACTCCTCTTCGGTTGTCGCTTTCCGCCGCGTGAGAAAACCAACCGCAGTTAAATATCGTACAACATAAAATTCGTAAGTTTTGCCCGCCAGCCTCCGCCGTAACAAACCATTGTCGTCGCTATGGTGGAAGCGTTCTCTCCATTCTCTTTCTCGCGTAAACGTTCGAGCGCAGCAATTAGAAGAACCGGCCGTAAAAGTCGGCATTTACGAGCGCGTTCAGCCGCATGTATGCAAACGTCTATTAATAATTCGATCTTGTTACGCTCCTCTACCGACATGATCGATCGTCGCAACATGGGGAAGTGACAACAAGAGAACGGCCGCGGACGACGCCTCGGTGGATGACGGTGACAATGCGGGAACGTGAGAATTGAATCACCGTCAGTTGCAGCCCCCACAATGCAAGAATGTGCGAGAAATACTTGTCAATGAAGAAACCATCAGCGGAAACCTTGGCGCGCGGTAACATTGCATCGAGGTGAACGCTGAATTCAGGAATGACGTGATAGAGACATACGACGCCGTCTGTTTATACGAATGCCGCGCGTCAAAGTTCTTCTGTCTCGAGAAGGGATTATGGCTCTTGCAAACCAGCGCGATATCCAACAATGCATGCTTTCTCCAGAAGAACTGCATGCTTATTGGATATCGCGTTGGTCTGCCCATTAGGCGGGCAAAGAAACGGCGGGAGATATCGAGTGTCAATAGAGAGACGTTCGAGATGATGAACGAATTGAAGGGGGTCAACCGACACGATGTATCTTCAACGATGGATCTATGGATGTATGTGAAAAGAAAGAAACCGAAAGTTCGACTTCCCTATTTGAAGCGTGACAATAAAACTTTCGACTTCAATATTCAGAGATTTGAATTGTCAGAAAGTAGTCGGCGGATTTCTTTTGAAAAATAACTCCGTTACTCATGTCAATAGCTGAAAAAAGGTAACTTCGTTATTTTCCATCTAATAAAAAGAGTAACTCGTTGCCGTTATCGTTATTCAAGAGGTCGACGACCATTACTTTTGCGGTATCGAGTTTGGAGAATCTTTTTCAACAATCATTTTTTTCCTTTTCTTGCTTCTTCCGTATGTTTCTAGGGGAAACCGACAAACCACCAGAACAGAGATTATTTCCAACAAAAAAGATACATTATTACAAGTTAATTCGGCTCACAAGCGTACGCCAATTTTGCTGAAATACATTATGTATATACACTGGAATTTTATTCCAGTGGTCCGTCGGCCGCGATTCTCCAAAAATTATTTCTCGTTGTATGGTGGTGCAGTTAGCTCTACTTGACCTGACTTACCTGACGCGCAACCCTTCTCCGTTCTATCGTAGCTATTGATCAACATCGTCGCATGTTTGCTCACGCTTTGCGTCGTGCACTTGTCGAAAAGATTGCGCACGTTGAAGATGTAGCGCTCCGTATGTAACTAGCTCACAACGAGCAGTCACGCGTGCTCGTAATTCAGTCGGTCGATAGGTTGGTCGAGACAAGTCTCCCAAACGAGAAAAGGTATCGACGTGTCACTCGGAAACTACCTTCACTGATCGACCGACGATCGACGAATGAACTGCTCGGGGATAAGACATTGGGCTTTTGTCGCCTCAAACCATCGTCGGTCTACACACATCCGGTCTGCGAAATAATAAAACCACGTTACTCATCGTTCCACGCGCTCGCTTCCCCCTCTACTCCGTTCTCGCGAAGAAAACTCACGTTTAGACTGGAAAAATGCGAGGTGGTATGGAGCAATACTCGAGAGTATCTATCGGGGGTTCTCTTCTTGTTGTTCTCTCTCTCGTGTACGGAGGCGGTACATAGGAAGCGCGATGACGGGCGAACAAACGGAAGAGAGAGAGAGAGAGAGAGAGAGATAACGCAATGGAAGTGGAAGACCGAACAGGATACGTTTCCGCGATATGGAAAATCGTCGTGCGAATCTTTCCGATTAATTCCGCGCGCTTAACGCCTCACCGACGATAGGATTTGTGCTTTTAATTGAGTTTAAGTTATCAAAATATATTGAAACGACTACAGTGTTTTATTATATTGCGGTTTATTCAGTCCAAGACTGTGATTAATCTTTCAAGATGCGAGAAATTTTTTATTTAGAGACTTTTTGTAAGAGTGCTATTTTCCCTTAAAAACTACCTTAAAATTTTCATAATGAAAAATCATGAAAAAGATATTTCTCTTATAAAAGACCTAAAAACCCATGATAGTTGTAATAATTAGGCATATTGTGAGACATATGCAGACACAATGTCTGACCGTTACGATTGTGAGGGTTGGGGCGTTAACGCAATTGTTTCCGTACTTTTAAATTATCAATTTAAGCAATGCTTTCCAATACTTATGATGATTTTAGCCTATTTCTAAGGATGTATTTATTGGTTCATTTACGATCGATTGCAAACAGAAAAAAGTCAAAATACGACCATTTTCCGTGCACTATAATGAAAAGTCTGGCAGAGGTCCTTCATACTCTAGTGTGGTAACTATATGTATGAAAAATAAGTGTGTAGGATTAATTTATAGACGAAGGGTAAGACTCGCGCGATGGCACTGCTAAAGTATAATACTCGATAGCTGTCGGTAATTAGCGTGACTTTATGTGTGAAGATAATTTCGCGAGGTCGCGGATAATTGCTGCATGAATTGAAAGACGGACACCTGTCGTCGTAATGTACCATCGTTAACTGTAAAATAAACATGGAAAAAATATACGTGCGCGTTTTGTTACTAAGCTTCAATGCTTCGGAATTTATCGCGAAAACCGCGGGGTTTGTTATGTATTATTGTAATGTATGAAGGTTATGCAAAAATTTTAAATTTTGTTTAATTTTCTTCTATTTACATGTAAGTACTACAAATCAATCTCCAAAATATTTTCCCTCCATTATCTATAACCTTCTACTACCTTTCTTTCGGATTCCGTTGTGAAACAAAAAAATACAGTTGGTTTTGGTGGCAATGAATTCGTCGATCCACATCCCTGTCACATCTCGAAAACGCCGTCCGGCTAAAGCATGCTGTATCGCATGCTGGAATAAATGATAATCCGAAAGTCAAGCGAGTACGCTGCGTGCGGAAAAACTTCCCAGTCCAAGATAGTTGGTTGAGCAACACGCGGTCTAGCGTTATCGTGCAGCGAAATGGCTTTCCGATTTCCTTGACCAGTAAATGGCCCTTTTTCTTTCATTTTTTTTTCCCGGCCAAATTATTTAATTGACGACAATAGCGTTCAGTATTAGCGTTCACTTAAGAAGCTCGTAACAGAGCATACCTTTCACATCATTTTAGCATTCGGTTTTGCCACTAATGTACATAGCTGGCCGGGGTCTACTCACGAATGTCTGCGTTGTCGTATCAATACAATAGACATATTGTGTGGATTTAAGGACTCAACTTATTGGATATGTAGGATCAATATCTCCCGCGACTCTAATTGATATGACAGTTCCCTGAACTCAAATGGAGCTGAAAATTCTAACATGAAAAATCTCGGGGTTACAACAGATTTTATATAAGAAACGTTTCAACGGGCGAATTAGTGGGTTCGCACGTTTAGACATGATATACTTTGTTACAAAATCGTGCCTTATTTGCCACCAACAGGCTGAATTGCGATAACTACGATATTGTTTCCTCGTTCGTTCTGATCATTCACAAGATATTTACAAGTATCACAGTTCTAGCTGCAAGAAGCTGCTGACAATTTCGCCCGCTAGCATCTGCTAACGACTGTTTGCCACGGCAGATCTTCTATAGTTCTTTAGATCTTCTATAGTTTTATGTCGAATTTATCTCAAAATTTGTTTTAATCGATTTTATAAGTCAACTTTTTATTTATCAATAGTATTCTCAGTATAAACATATTATTGTATTGTTACATTGGTTAAATATTAAAATAGATAAATAAGTAGATAAATGCTTATTATCATTCTAGAGACTGAGAGAAAAAAATACCTGAAAGCTATTATATATTCGGTGAGTATATTAATAACATGTTTACTTGTATCAATTGTACATGTTTCCACACTGAGACAAAATACTTTTCAAGTCAAGGGATACGATTTTTTTTTTATACCATAGCTTTTCGTGAAAGCAAATTTATTCTACCGAAACAATGGAATTTAGATTTAAGTCAATATGTTATTAGAGGCTCAGCGAATAGATATTCTTTATTTCTTAGATGTTATTTTTTTTCAATGTAATATGGTAGTAGTAGGACAAAATTTATTTTTTTTTTTTACGTATTCAACCGTGTCGCTTGATATAAATATTAGCGAAGCATTCAAATGAAGAAAATTTGCAATGAACGCGCGTATGCATGAACGGACGTAATTTATGAAATACTTTCGGGGTACACACCGCGACGCATAAAATCGCGCGGCATTCACGCAATTGAGACGGCGGTGCACAAAGATACACTATGGAAGATTTACGTCCTGTTCGTTCATCTGTATCGGAGCGAAGAGGAACGCGAGCGTACAATTACACGGTCGTAATCGCGCCGAGTCACCCGCACGACGGATTTACCCGGCGCGTGTCGTTCGTGCATTGAACGCTCGCTCGAATGCCGCCACGCTCGATACATTTTCATAATCTGACTCACACCTTCGACGGGGCGATCGTGCGTGACGCTCTGAGGAAACAATCCACTCTGTGATGTGCGTGCGATCGGGTTACTTGAGTCTGTTTTCCAGAATTGAAATTTCCCATGGATTTACGGATGGAGAACAATTTGTAGAGAGTCAAGTGGTAGGTAACAACGAGCGAGAAAATTACGCGCGGTTCGCCGGTGGACGGAAGGAGAATTTTCGCGCGGTTTCCTCTTCCCTCCAAAGATGGCCGCTTGAGAACGTCACGTCAACGGTGTGATCAATACTCCGGGTTCGTATACAGTTTAGGTACATCTACATTCCGTGCCTATAACTCGCCCTCACACGGAGGAGGAAAAGAGAGTCTATTGGGCAAATTCAGCCCGCGATATCGGAAAGCGTAGTAACGATTTTATTGCTTTCGCGCGCATCGCGCAGGCTTCACCTGAGCGAGTCGTGTTTACATGCGACAAGAACGATCGTTTGCATTTTATCGCGAGGACGTCCAATTTGTTCCATGACGAGAATACGCAGCGAGATAGAGGTGTGTGTTCGTCCAAAATTTTGATGTTACCTTGACGATACTGACTTTTCTCTTAACCTTTAGTTCTACAGATTTAATTTTAATATTATCTTGAACATTTTGACAGCGAAAGCGGACATCATCAGGATCAAAGTAAGAGTAAATCATATTATTAGAACTGAAATTAAACTTATTTGGCTATCTCAGCTTCTACTATGTTGTAGAATTAAAAGTTTAACATAAGGACAAAATGTCGGCTCGGTCGTAACTTGGAAGAATCGACTTAAATATCTTTTAGGGGTTTTCAAGAGGAGCTTGCGAATTATGGATTTTATTCGACTTTATTATACATTAAATGTGCCGTAGTGTTTGCAGTCTCCTTTGGATTTGAAAACCAATATCGATGGCGCTCTTTAATTTTCAAGAATGCGAAGTAATCGATATTTCATCTCTGACATTGGAAATCGCGCGTTATTTGAGTACGATATAATTTTCTGCGAAGTATGAAGCACACAGATCGATAAGATTGGTAAACTAGAAGGAAGGAAGGAAGGAAGGAATGTCGCGTGAATCGAAAAAGAAAGTTCAGACAATGCGCGTTCTCACATCGAACACGCGTGCAATTAATAATCGATGATTTACGGCAAGATTTACTTGTATTTTCCGTGCTCTCTTCTTTCTTTTATCGAAATATATATAAAATTGCAATTATTGTGAGTAATCAAAGTCTGTAAAATTTTGGTAAAATCACTCCAATTTATTAGTTTGCGGTTGTGTTTATGGATCGAAAATTAATTTTTTTTTTTTTCGTTGGGCGAGCGATCGAAACATTTGTTAGAGAGATTCGCTTTCGTCCGTTCGTCTCGACTGCCTTATTAATTCGATGCACCGGGACAACAATGATAATACGACGGATGATTATCGTAAGATTGCTTAAGAATAATTAACAACGATTAAACAATCTACGCCTCTTTTCGCAGTCGCCAGTCCGCGAAGATAATCGCGCGAAAAACAAACGTTTACTCGTGTCGTTACCGTGCTACGGCGCTTGAGCGCTGCCGTTTCATGTGCGCCGAAATTTACAATCGATTATTCCCCGTACACATCTCTGTTCTCCTGACTGCGTGATCAGAAATGTTGCACGATAAGATTCCGCTTAGTGTCGCGAAGTGGTGAAACTCTGTCAATACCAAAGTTGTAACTACAAAAATCGCCTCGCCGAAGAAAAATCGTTAGAGAAACGTTAGCGCTTTATGTGCATTCGTTGCTATAAATACGTACCTCTCGGCCTCCAAGCATAACATTTGGTTTAAAGCCAGATAAAAATTCTAATTTCAGTTTGCAGGGAAAGCGAAACATTTCCATTTTCAGTTAACGGGACGAGCGAAAAACAAGTTGCACCATCGGGCATTTAATGTTATTAAGTGACTCCGAGTCTTGGAAAACAAATTTGGAATGAATTTTATTCAGGGAAAATGTCAAAGTTGTTATTGGTAGTCACAGCTTCTTAAAATTTGATACCGAATATATTGGCGATGAAAAATTTCACGTTAAACTTCCAAACGTACAAAGTTGACTCGCACGACAGTCTTATTATTAAATTATTTACATATTATCAGTGACAGAAACCTTATTTTTCGTTAAACTGCCGACGCCGCTTCCAAGCGCGATCCTCTTGCGTTAAACGCATCGTTCCAAGATATGTCCACATTTAATGTCATTTGACAATGTCGACGGTCGATGAAGCTCACTTCGTTTTTGCAGTCTCCACGTTCAGATTTCACTGAGATTTCTCCATTCATGGGGAACAAATGGATTCTTCACTGTAACACTTCATCTCTCTGATCAGCCGAACATAAGCGTAATTTTCGAAACGAAACACAGTGTAAAGCGTACACTCGTCGAGAGAGAGAGAGAGAGAGAGAGGGAGGCGCTGATCACTCACTCACTGATATTTGTGTTGCGTGTGATTTTATGTGCACTTGTATCGATTCATATTTGAGTGAAAGAGGAAAAACAAACGAGAAACACCTCGGGCACGTTGCGCTTTGGCCGATGACCGGCTCTGCAATGAACATATAATTCGCACGAAGGAACCCAGCCGTATATCGCTGTCTATACATAGCGCGGCCCGCGCGATGCGCAGACGCCAGGCATCTCGACGCTTTTGCCAGTGGTATAAAAAATATGTATGTATTAGATATTCTTCTATAATTCTTCTTCATCATTCGACGCGAATGAAGAAACACAAAAAACTGGTGCCAACACAAAATTATACCCCCGTGTTTCGTTCATTGTTTCTTTTTCTTTCTCTCTCTCTCTCTCTCTCTCTCTCTCTTTCTTCGATTTTATCTTTGAAATTCCTTATTTAATTATACTACTGAATGTTTTGTTTGTCTTTCTTCAAAATTGATTATGTAAAAACAATTTTTTTTGCTATAATAAAATGTGAATATCATTTTTTCAACTTGATACAAGGAATGTATACTACTTAAGTTTATGCACATTGCAATTAATTTCTCTCTTCACTATTTTGTTCGTTTTATTTTTACGCTCATATACGTATTAATACACTTATCAACTACCACACAATTACCACTTCAATTGATATTAGTTAATTATATATTCTAAATTCTGTGAATATACAGGATTATCATAAAATTTATTCCCGTTTCCCTTACATTTCTTCCTTTCTTTTATTCTTTTTCACATTTTTCCTTCTCTTTGGTTAATGTTATTTATTGTTGCCATCTCTTTCTCTTCTTTTGTTTTCTTTTTCTTTTCTTTTATACATCGCTAGATTCGTATTATAATTACTGTGCGCTGTGCGAAGGTGTTACACTCCAGGATTCACAAATTGATTTATCTGTCTCTTTTCTCGCTTATCCGATAAGCTGAGCAAAGAAGTATCGACTACGCGGAAAGAAGAAGAGATTCTCCCTCTTCCTTTCATCCAAGTGTCCGTGACCTAAATAATAGAGAGCGAAAGAAAGATACACGAAAATAGCTGTAAATAGACTTTCAGAAATGGATTCACGAAAATGTCGGACCAACTGACCTGTCTAAGACGCTTTCGTCAGTGAATATGTTAGCATCGATGGTTTCTGAATCGCTATGAAAATTACGAGCGTGTCGATCAAATTTTTTAGTTGGTTAATAAAATTTATTTGGTCAGCGGAAAGTTCGATTTTCTGCCTTCTTCGCCTTCTTCGACGGCGTGTTTGCGATAAAAGTATACGGACATTATTATACGGAATGTCATTGGCAAGATTCTAAATAACGACGGTGATCAGATGGATGACGAACAACTGGTTTTCATTGAATGCAACAAAGTTAGATCTGGCTCAAAAGATGAACAAAACTTTGACTGATCCGATATAAGCTTTCCGTTTCGAATATATATATATATATATTGGATTTCAAAACGGTTATAGATAGCTGCATGTATCGAGGTACGATTAGAAGAGATAGAAGATAATCGGGAGTGAAATTGCGCGGAAGTGTTTCTTTAACGCGTACAATAATTTTTATTTGCACCGTCTTCACCATCGGTGGGATGATGTGCGATTGCTCTCGTTATGTGATTTGTGTTCACTTGGTAGCTGTACTTACGATTTTTTTCGTTTCGATTTTTAACAGTTACATGGTATGTTGAAACAGATTGTAATATCAGTGCCGGGTTCAAGGCCACTTATGACGAATCAATTCAACGTAAATTTACGCACCATTTTCGGTCGAACAATCGACTCGTCAGGGAGAATCCAATCATCCTCTGCCTGTAGAATACGATGTTGTCGCGTAGCAATGACTGTTGTGTCGCAAGGGTGAATGTTTTGTACCCAAAAAATTTCAATTTTTTTTCACGTGCGAGTTTTTTTATACATTATTATTAAATATTATCATAATGTTATTAGTAATTTAATAATTATGCTGAGAGAGAGAGAGAGAGAGAGAGAGAGAAAGAGAGAGAGAGAGAGAGAGAGAGAGTCTGAAATATTTTGCAGCAGTCCTGATATTAAAATTGTTAAAATCATATTGACAGTATCGACCACATTTAGCAAAATACATTGAAAGAATATATTTGAAATTAATGTTAAAGTTATTTCTAAACATTACTTAGGTTTTAATTATATCTTTTGAAATTAAGATTTTCATGCTTCATACAGTATCATTGTACCTTTATGACTCCTTTATGTCCTGTATTGTTGGAAGTTCCATCCCATTCTAAAGGTATAGCATATTATGTTGCATCCTTAGTATACTTTATATCCTCAAATTCTTTATCAGATTCTTCAGTATCATTTTCTTCATCTTCGCTGGAACTACTACAGTAATATTACAGTTTCTCCCCCAAAATCTTGTTCTCAAAAGTTGACATGATATCTGAATTTAGGGCTTTACACAGCACACCAAATAACCAAATATATCTATTGAACAAAAACAGAAACCAAAATTTATATTGCAACTTGCTATTTAGAATTTTATTTTTGATAAACGTGTATACATCATATATCTGTACTTAAATTAAAGAAACTCATATTTAAAATACGTTAAATTCAAAATAGCCAAATAGCAGGTATTATATACAGAAAAATGTTGGTTATTGCATCTGTCGATATAGCTCACAGAGCTGTATTCAAAATATGATTCAGCAATCAGCCAATATTTTCTATTACAAAGCTGTTGCATATAAATTTTATTAGATCGTAAGACAAAAGAAATAAGTCGATTGTTAATTTATTGACGTATTACACGTCTCTAGTCTGCAGATAGTTTTGCATTTTTCACGATTCTCTAGAAGAAGTTTCAATCTCAGGCACAGCTTCCATGACAAATTAGGAAGTTCAAGAAATATCAATATGAGAGAGCGACACTGCCGTTCAATGTTAGAACTTAAATGTGTCAGTCTTTGTCGGTAAGAATGGATAACACAATAACAACTGATCAATAGTGGGTAAATTAAATTTCTTGAGGTCGATAAGTTACCAGGGACGATATATTTCCGGATGATGATAAGTTACCGGTGTCGATAAGTTACCATGGACGATAAGTTTTTGGGTGTCGTTTAATTATCAAAGTCGATATGCTTCCGGAGATCGGTAAGTTATAAAAGTCGGTAAGTTTCCGGGGACGGGAAATCTCTTTAGAGCGCATCGTAGAGGCAGAGTGAGATTCAAAGATTCAAATTTTTGGATAGATTCAAATAAGGATGGTACTTCCG